GTGTGTGAGCTGGGGTTCCCCCAGGACATGACGCGCAGCCTCGTTGGGGGAGGAGGGCGCTTGGTCACTAGTGTTTCGTGTTCTGAGGAGGATCTCCTTCGGGTCTCAGGCCTGAAGCCCGTGTCCCTCTCACCCCTGAAGGGTCCCACTGTCCCGAGCCACCCGAGGCCTCACGCCACCCGCTGGCCCGGGCAGAGCTGAACCCGGTGTGGGCGCCTCCCGCCTGCCTGTGACCGTGAACCCCATGACCCGCTGTCTCTCGGGCCCCAGGCCCCTCGGGGGGTGCCTGCACCCCGAGGCGGCTCCACACCTGCAGGATGACCCAGTGCCCCATCTCCGCAGCCACGTCCAGGGCGTGCTCGGCCACCACCTCCTGCCCCTGCCCCAGCGACACGTTGTGGAGCTTCCCGTTGTCGATGGTGAACCCCAGCTTCTTCCCTGAAGGAGAGTGACCGGGAAACGCTGGGGGCGATCGGGTGACACGGGGGCAGCTCTGGGACCCACGGCTGGGATTCCGCCCGCCCCCCCCCCAGCTTCTTCCCTGAAGGAAAGTGACCGGGAAACGCTGGGGGGGGGCGATCGGGTGACACGGGGGCGGCTCTGGGACCCACGGCTGGGATTCCGCCCGCTCCCCCACTCGTTTTCATTGTAAACACACGTCATGCAAAGTGACCGTTTTACACACCATCTTAACATGTACGACTTCAACACATGCCCAGCGCTGTGCACCCTCTCTGGTTCCAGAACATTCTCATCCGCCCAGGAGCAAACCCACCTGTTAGACAGTCACGCCCCTCCTCATTCCTCCTCACCCCTCCTTCCCCCGCAGCCCCCCATCTGCTTGCTGTCTGGATCGGCCGGCCCTGGATGTGTTGGATAAAGGGAATCACGCAACACGGGGCCCCTGCTGCTTCCCCTCGGCATCGTGTCCCAAGGTTCACCGCGGGGCAGATCCCGCTCCACTGCCGTTTCGTGGCCGAGTGATATTCCACCGCGAGCAGCACCCACACCGTGGCCATGCCTTCCCATGGCCATGCCTTCCCGTGGGGGGGGTTCGGGTGCATCTGCCTTTTGGCTGCTGGGAGTGAGCACCTGTGTAAAGCACTCGTTTGAGCACCTCGCAGTTCCTTCGGGGTCTGTGCCCAGCATGGAGTTGCTCGGTCACGTGTAGTTCTGTGGGTCACGTGTAATTCTATGGGTCACGTGTAGTTCTGTGGGTCACGTGTAGTTCTGTGGGTCACGTGTAATTCTGTGGGTCACGTGTAGTTCTGTGGGCCACGTGTAATTCTGTGGGCCACGTGTAGTTCTGTGGGCCACGTGTAGTTCTGTGTGCATCTCCCCAAGGAACCGCCATACTGTCTCACACAGCAGCCACACGGTCTCTCATTCCAGCGCTGACCATTCTCCGTGTTTCTGACACGCAATAACCACCCGGCGGGTGGCAGGGGTCACGCCTCTGGTGACAGGCACGGTCGCCGGCCGCACTCACCCAGGGCTTCCACGTCCTTCAGGGGGTCGACCCCCGGGGAGAGGATGAAGAAGATGGGGGTGGAGGGGCTGCTCTCCTCGTAGGACTTGGAGAACTCGACGCTCCGGCCCTCCACGAACTTGCTGCCCATCTTCTCCTCCACGAAGTTCCTGGGGGAGGCGGCGGTCAGCGGGGCCGGAGGCCGTCTCCTGGCGGCTCTAGCAGAGCGGCCTGCTTCCCTCGGGCAGGGAGGGTGTGGGTGCTCCCGCCCTGGCTGTGTCTGCTCTGGGCGC